TTTTTTTAATAGCTATATAAAAAAAAAATAAACAATTTTTGTTCCTTGCAGTTTTTTTGTAAAATTAATAGTATTTGAATAAAAAATTATTGAAAAACAATTTTCGAAAATTTTTAACAATTAATATCTTGTTAACTATTGCGAAAATTGCAAAATGGTAGAGGACTTTTCTTCTCAGTTTAATCCATTCTGTTCCTATGCGAAAAATTTATCATTATTTTCCAAACAACCTGTATACCATTAAACAAAATGTTAAATAACAAACAACATATTCAAATATATATACATTCGCGTGATAATACGTTCGAGTTTAAGAAAAATGAGAAAGTAAGTGTAATTAAATGCTAAAATGTACCTCAAAAACGTTTTGAAATACTTGAAAGTAAAAATGCGTTATAATAAGTGCTGGGTATTGAGTACATTAGCGTCATGATGTAACAGCGAGCTACTGAACAAATAATTCTATAAGTAGTCATTAGGATATATAACAGTGGAGATATTAAGGGAAGCCACAATATATACACAATATATACACAATATATACACCATAATACTACCTTCTTCTCTAATGTTAAATAATTATTAATTTATATTTAACAATTTTAATTCATTCATTTATTTTTTAATAATAATTTTAAGAGAGTATTGCTTTAGATACAAAGAAACCTTGAGCCTACCGATGTTTGGATCCTCTTCGATCCTGAGCCAAGAGAAAAGAAGACAAGAAGGAAAAAAAATTATCACACCAAAAATTACCATTCCTCTGTTCTTCTTCCTCGAAGGTCCGGGACTTGTGACATCAGGCAAGTGACTTTTCGGAGAGAAGGTTGTGCTTTACCAAGATGTGCTGAAATCGATAATGATCACAGGGGTCATCATTCTTATAACGGACGATTGATTTTGCGCGACAGCGAGCATATTGCTCGTGCGATTCCATGTCATACGCTAATCGACTACTTTATCTGCCGCTTAATCATCGCTTTACCTAACGAAACACACAATTCATTATTAATAAGCAATTGGAAGGAATGAAGACGCATTTCCGAGGCACATCTTCCAGCGAGAGAAGTTCGGAGGAAAGCTTGACGCGAATCGCTGCTGCTACTTACCGCCGTTCTCTACTTTTGGCCAAGTCTAGAGAACCTGAGCATCGTTTCCCTAGCGACATAATAATTCGATAGCGAACTCGCTACAGTTATTAATGCAAATGCTTACGCTTGCATATCTATACTCATTGTAACCCATATTATTATCCTGCAGTAAATAGCAATTAACAATAATATTATATCGATGTTATAATTTCTTACTTAATTGTTACATATAACACGTTGTTGCATATTACATTTATATTGTTGAGTGGAATATATATGTATTATTAATATAACGTTAGAGTTAATGTTTTATGGGTACTATTATCTCATAATCGGGATTTACAGATAATTCGATAGCAAATTTACTATGATAAATAATTATGCTTTCATATGTTTATATTTATTATTATATATATCATTATTATTGTTAAATTCATAATTAAAATATAAATTAATAGAATTGCTCAACTGAAATAAATCAAATATAGGTAATAACAGGGACTACGAGCCAATTAAATTAATAATATTTAAAACATTAAAATTAAATGATATTTAAAATAATAATAATATTTAAGTTTAATATTTAAAAGTAGATTAGTAAAAAGTGCAAACGTTTCGACACCGATCAGATTATTCTCAACGTTAGAATAATAATGTTACTTTTAAAATCTCAATGGATAAAATCTAATGGATATATTCGTAACAAAGAAAAAAGATATAAGCATTTGATACATATCTACATTTTTTTTAATCTACTTTATAACGTACAGAACACTATTTTTGTAACATGAAAATTTGACATTTATTGTAACATTATTATTTTAACATTGAGAATAATCGATGTCGAAACGATTGTACTTTTTACTAATCTAGTTTTAAATATTAAATGTTAGTAATTTTAACTGGCTCGTAGCCCTTGTTATTAACTGTTTGTATTTGATTTAATTCATAATTATTATATCTTCTTACTCTACTCCAGTAAACACCAATTAAGAGTGAATTGAATAGGAAATTATAACATTATACAGCATTATTATATAATAATTTCTTACTTAACTGTTACGTAAAACATGTGTTACATCACATTTATATTAAATGAGAAATTTATATATTAAGTGAGAAATATAAATATATTTTATGTATATTATTGATATAATGTTATTGTTAGTTGATATTTACCGCGTACTATTAATTATCTCGTAATCAGTATTTGCGAGAAGCATGATTGAAACCTTTTCCTAAGCAGAATGACTTTATAATCCATTTATTCCAGAATTACGAGAACAACTGAAAGAAGGTCGTGTAGATGACTTAATTCAGAGTTTCTGCCAGTTTTATTCTATTCGAATCCATGCGCGTATTCAAAATCGTCAACTTCCCGCAATAATGTCCGCGTCAATTTGCGTCATGTAAATGTAACGCGGAAAGTCCGAGGAGCCTCGGGAAACACCCGATGACGCTTTCTCAAAATTATATTCTAGATCGGCGGGACAGATCGGCGAAATGTAGATCACCACCTTTGTACCTGTAGCTCGAGAATGCAGAAATGCAAAGTGCCTCATGAATATTATGAATACCATTATCACGCGAAGCAGGTATTTGCAAAAAATTACGCCGCCGCGTTTGTGATTATAGCGACTGAAGCGGACAACGTATTTGTATTTATAGCAACGAATCCGCGAATGTGCCTTCCTGGATCATTGCCATTCTCCCTTCCACGAACCGTTTCGCCGGAAGAAGACCTTGAAGCGTGACTCTAAATCGTAGCCGAGACACATAGTCAGTACACGCGACAGTCGTGATGTCGTCGGATTCTATTCCGTTTCTCTATATTACCAATAAAACCTTCGCGATGCATGAAACAGAATAAACAACAAAGTGCTACGATTAAATGTCAAATGTATTTTATTGAAAATTCAGAGTTAGTTTCGTTAAATCATTCCCTCAAGAAGAAACGACTCTAAAGTATGTATATATTTAGATTGTACTGTTATAAATATATAATTAATTATCATTATTTTATTGTATTATAATTTTATTGTGTTACTTACTATTATCCAGATTACATTTCGTGCAAAAGCAAAGCAATGTAATTTATTTACTGATACTTCTTGTCACAATGTTGCCACGCTAATTTGCTAAATAAAATTTTGCTTGTATGTTATCGTAATTTTGTCAAATTAACATTTGTATGTACTTTTAATGATAAGCAAAATTGCTTCAATTTTGCCGAAATATTGCCATAATCATTTTTACCACAATTGTTGCCACAAAGCTGTTTTAAAGTTATTCTATTATAGTTTGTGTGTTTCTTTGTTTGCAATATTGCATCAAATGAAGACTTCCTTGTTGGCAAATTGCTTGTTACATTTTTAAGTAAATTTTTAGCAAAATGCCTGCAAAATGTTATCTGGGTATATATTATAAACCATAATTGAAATTATATAGCATCTAACTCTGATATAATCACAAAAATAGTAGAAGCTAGTAATTAGATTATTTACTACTGTGTTATATATATAGGGTGTTTGATAATTCTTCTGACGGAGTTTGTGGATATGTAGAGCGGACTAAACTGAGACAGAAAGGTCTCTATCATTTTGTAATTTTTTGTCTTCAATAATTTTTTACTCAAATACTATTAAATTTACAAAAAAAAACTGCAAGAGTTGAAAATTGTTTATTATATTTATAAAATTCTACGAATTTTTTTCAGAATTTTTTATCAACTTTTTAGTACTGCATTTTCTCAATTTTATCAACATGAGAAAATACGGTATTAAAAAATTCTGAAAAAATTATTAAAAAATTCTTAGAGCTCTATATGAAAAGAAAATCAACAATTTTTGTTCCTTGCAGTTTTTCCGTAAAGTTGATAGTATTTGAATAAAATTATTGAAGATCAATTTTCGGCAATTTTTAGCAATTAATATCTTGTCAACTATTGTGAAAAATTGCAAAAAATGGTAAAAGACTTTCGTCTCAGTTTAGTTCGCTCTACATGTCCATAAACTCCGTCAAAACAATTATCAGACACTCTGCATATTATGTATAAAAGAGGAATTATAATTGAAATTATAGTATCTAACGTTGTCATGATTACACAAAAAATAGCAGAAATTAATAATTCAAAAGATTTTGTACTATTATATTACATATGTATAATGAAAATTATGAATATAATAAAATTATAATACCTAAAATTGTGACATAACAACAAAAATAACAGGAGCTAATAATTCGAAAGATTAATTAGTGGTTCTTTTCTTTCAGGATCAAGATTGTGCTCATTAAAAAACAAAATGTTCAATTCACATCATTAGTTCATCTTGCATTAGTTCAATTGCAGCTTACGAGAAAGATTCTACGAGGAGATAGGAAGAATTCTACGGCGACTGTTAATAGCTTACCGGACCGTGCGTAGTTTTAATTACGGTAACGATCGCGTACGTTTTCCTATGACATGAAACCCGGGGAAACCACGCGGCCATGATACGTTCCCAGTATAACGTCGCATGGTATGGCGATCGTGACGTGAGGATGGATGAATCAGTTGCCGCGCGCGGCAACGAGATCAGTAGATCGGAGAACATCGAATCGGACACTCGGACAGTCCACATCGTGAATCCTTTGTTCGTTCCGTAAAGTCAGAGAAAACACTTGCAGTGTTTTAAAATACGGTGAGTGAGTGATATTGAAAGAAAAAAAATAATTTTTTTAAATTGCTAAAGAAATATGCTCGATTACGTTCTTTAAAGACACACTTGTTGAGCGACCAGCGGATAAAAACTAAAATTGCCAAATGCTCGAATTATAAATTAAAAGTTATAAAGTACAATTGCAAGGGATGTAATTACAATGTGTTAGCTAGAATAGCAAAAGAAGTTATGAAACGAAGAAAAAGTGATACATTATAATAACAATTGAATGAAATAGTTTAGCCGTTCAAAGGATATTTACGTTTTAGACTTAAAAGACACAAGAGTGAGGGTGTTTTATATGGCAATTAGTCGAGATTAATGGCGACAGTTGTTAGAAATAAATATGTAGTAATGCGATACAAAAAGTGAAATGTTCAATCGATTTATTCATTCATAAGTTTTATATGTAGAATTGTCATACAAGTTGAATAAATTATTCTGTAACTGCAATAATTATTGTATGAAATAATTTATTCAATTTACTTAGCAATTTTTTAAATTTTAATTAAGAATAATAAGCCTATGAGAGCCAATGCTGAATGTAATTGCAATCAAGTTTTATTATATATAACAATTTAATAAGTGAAACGTTTCGATCCTTTGAATTCTCTTCAGTAAATACATAATTGATAAACTAAAATATATATATACAACAAAAAGATTATTGTTAAATATACTTAGAAAATTAAATTGAGTTAAAAAATTATTACAAAAATATTGTTCGTCTTAATGTAAACTGTGGATAAGTTAATTCGCATCCATATGTCAAAATTATTCACTAAATTTTCAAGTTTACTAAATAATAAGTTACGTCATAGTAGTATAAATATGTAATAAATAAAATTGAAATTAGACTGATGGAAATTAATTAAATTAAAACTTACATGGATATTTGAAGATTGGCATATTGTGCAAAGTTGATAAAGCGCTTGTCATGGATATAATGAGAACATTTGTCAGACAATAACACAAATAGATCTTCAATAAAACTATAGAAGAGGGAAAAGCATCAATTTTTAGAAATTAAAAATTAAACCAGCAGGATGTTAAAGACAAGAATTAAGGAACATAGGAACCATATTAATCGGAAAACATCACATCGGTTATTACGGCACATAGACAGGAATTTGCACATGATTTCGATTGGGAGAATATAAAAATTTTGAATATAGAAAGATTCTTAAACAAACGACTAACAGAAATAATTTACATACGTATAAACAGAAAAATGATCTGAACGTACAAAGTGACACATAATTTTTGGATCTGTTATATGCTACTTTAAAAATTGATGCTTCCCTCTCTTCCATAGTTTTATTGAAGGTCAATTTGTGTTATTGTCATTCTTAGAGCCATGACAAACGCTTTGTCAACTTCGCCAATCTTCAAACATCCATATAAGTTTTAATTAATTACCACCACTCTAATTTCAATTTATAGTGTTATTATTATATAGTATTATATAGTATTATATAGTATTATTGACGTAATTCATTATTTAATAAACTTGAAAATCTAGTAGACAATTTTGATATATGGATGCGAATTGACTTATTCACATATAAGACAAACAATATTTTTGTAAATTTTAACATAATCTGATTTTCTAAGTACATTTAACGTTAATTACACTTTTTGTATAATTTATCAATTATGTATTTATTGAAGAGGATCCAAACTAAGGATCAAAACGTTTTACTCATTTAATTGTTATATACAATTGTTATATACAATAAACTTGATTGCAATTACATCCAGCATTGGCTCTCATTAACTAAGCTTGTTATTCTTAATTAATTTAATTCATTAGAGCCTATAGAATTTCTATTGTATTTTTAATTTTATAATGTAACAAAATTTATATATAAAATTTACATAAAATTTTATATGGAATTATACTTTATAAGTTATATGTAAAATTAATGTACATATAGTTGAATAAATTATTTTATATAATTATTTATATAATTATTTTATATAATTTTATGTAATAATTATAAAATAATCTATTCAACTATATATGTATACATTAATTCTACATATAACACTTGTACAGTTATCATTTTTATGTTTTATCACCATTATGTCTTTATCTCTAATACCCGAGAATATCTTTGTTATTGCGGTCGGAAATCCTATTTAAAAACAAACATTCAACCGCATATAATCTCTAGGGACTAGTTTCGAACCTTCATATCTCAAAAACTACCGCTTAGAACAAATTGTGAATATTTCTGTAATTTTTTTTCGAGAACTTTTATAATGTAATATTTTGATTAGCAAATTTCGGGACATCCCGTATAAATCTTTATAGATGTATAATCCTTTATAGTTGCTATATTTTTCTCTGACTGTAGAATGGTATTTTTTCAAGCAATGATAAGAGAGTAAAAATTGAAGTGATATGAAAAATTACATTGTTTCGCAGGTAATTTCTTCAACCGATTTTCTACGGTTCTCCAACATGAATGGTACAAAGAAGCTTGGCAATGATGAGATATTATATCTGGACGAGATCAACGACGAGGTGTCGAGGCCCCTGACGTCCACCGACACGGAAGCAGAAGCGCCGTCCATCGGGCTGCGCGCTGGCTTCGTCTCGGAGAATGACGAAAATCTCGCCGACAATCCGCGAGGACCGGATTCGGTCACCGTAGCGGAGTCCGACGTGCTGGATAAAAAGCCATCTGCGCCGATCGGCTTCGACAGCATAAATGGACCGGGATTGCCCGTGGGAACGCAATCCGACTGGAGCAACATCTTTCCTCCTGCGCCTACCGTACAGGTCGTCACTCCGGACGTGAATGTCTACCAGCACAAGAAGACTCTGGCCCAAGGTATGATGGACCTGGCGCTGTTGTCCGCAAACGCGAATCAGATGCGCTACGTTCTCCAGACTGATGGCCGGCATCCGTACTTCTATCCGTCACTCGTCATGATCAGCATGAGCCTGTTCCTACAGATTGCTGTGGGCATTGGTCTGATATGGAACAGCGTCTACAATGTCAAGGAACATGAGCAAATGTGTAAAGCGAACAAAGCCAACAATTGGACAGTTGTTGGGATCTTCCTCGTCACGATATTCAATGTTTTTATCTCGTCGTTCGGTGTTGTCGACCAAACGGTTGCCGTCACGACATAAAATTCCATGTTTTTCTCTTTACTCTTGATGTGCTCTCTCTTTCTCTCAAAGATACGCAATCGTTATGTAAAGTGAATGACCAGATAAAATATTTCCAATGTTTTTAAAGTGATATCAACAAGTTTATGATTTCATATAGAAACTTCATAACGTTTCTGTATTATTATTATTGTTATTTTAATGCATCGGATGATCATCCGATGTATTGGATATCGAAAGACTTTCAGAAAGACTTTTTATTGCAGTCGTATTGATT